CACACACACACACACTCACACGCTCATAATACATGACTTGCATCCAGAGTTGTAGATTCTCCTCAGTAACATGTTCATAATGTGAAGTCATTGTCCTGCAGCAGCTGTCTGCCACAGATACAGGTTCAAGTGCCTCTCTGTGGCTGAAAGCAGTAATTGCACGATGACTGAAACACACCATTACACACTCAGGTGGAGAGCAGCTTAAACCAACTCCTCAAGTGGCCCCAGGATCGCTGGCATTTCTTTGAAAAGTCACTTAGGTCGTTTAGTTTTCGTGCCACAATCCTCCACTTAATTTCAGACCTGAGGGACAAATTACACCCATGAGTCTCTTCACTGGCTCCCTGTCACTTAGAGATCACTGCACCATCAGGCCCCTGCATGTCTAACAGGTCTACTCCACCTTTACTCATCATATTTCACAAAATAAATCAGCTGCATATCCCGTGCACCCGTCCAGAGACATATTTTTTATTTTATCGTATTCAGTTTGATTCCGTTTCTATTCTTATTCTGCTCCACATGACGTTTCCCCTTGTTCTACTTTTTAGTGCTGCTGTGTCAAACTGAATTTGCCCTGTGGGGATCAACGGAGGAGCATCCGATCTCATCAAACTTTAAGAAAATGAAGGTAAATGATTGAACAGCAAGATAAACATTAGCATCCACAATCCCAGCACAGATGAGCTGCCTTAGCGCTCCATGGCAACACAGTGGGAGTTACAGTAGCTGTAGATTTACTCATTCAACAAAAATAAACAGATGCACTTCGGTTGACAGGATGAATTTCACTTTGCAGCAGTTTTGATCAAACAGAATTTGTCAAAATGCAGCGACATTAGAGCAGCAGTGAGAATGAAATGTTTTTTTATAAACTGCTTTGTGGCAGATGTAACCAGGACTATCAGTACAAACATAAATGAAGTGTCTCCTGCACTTTATGAAAGCAGTCACGTAAACGCTCCAAAACACAAGATAAAAGTTCTAGTCACCCCCCCCCCCATGCATCTTAATCACCTCCTGTGATGATCTGAGAAACAGCAGCAGCTCGTTTTCACACTTTTATACGGACGAGTTAACGTCATTAACAAGTAGCAGGTGGGAGGAGGTGTGTCTTCTTGAAGATGGGAAAATAAACTTAAATCTGTGCTACATGATTCTGCACAAGTTCAAGGTACAGATTTAAATTCATGAGAACGCTGAAACATTTGTGTCAGACTAATATTATTTTTAATCCTTCAAATCCTGCAGCAAACCAAACAGCACAAGGACGTCACTTTTCACTCTGTTATTAATTCATCTGATCTGATCTGTGAACTATTGCTTAGTGATTCATTGAGATTTACGTCTCACGTTAGAATATTTTCACGTTTTTTAGTCATTTAAAGTGTTTTTTGGGGCGAAACTTGTCGTGTTTCTTTGAGGACCTGCTGATGATTAAGCAGGACAACTGTTGCTTGTTGCCAAAAGATCAGCAGGTATAAAAGCTCATTTCTCAGACATGTCCGCTCCTCTGCCTGTTTGTTCAAGATTCATTTTTCTCAAAACAACTTTTACAAAGTCAGTTTTGGATTTTGATGTTTCTGTCGTTAAAAACTGTCCTGAACGAACAAACAAACATATAAAACAACTTTGATTTCATGACCACATGCAATGAAATGAGTGGATTAATGATTTTAAACGGGTCGATGGGGCTCAGACTGATGATATGAAATAACTAAACAAGTTGTGTTCACGTACTAAAGTTACCTTTCTTCCTTCTGTCCTTTCAGATAATACGATTCCACTCAAAATGAGATAATGCAAGTAAGTAAGTATATAAATGTTTATTTCAAAACATGAGAATGATCATTTATGATAAAATTCAATAATATGTTGATACAATTTTTCTCTATAAGGGGTAAATTTAAAATTATTTCTTTAAATATCCAGTACCACAAGTTCTTTCTCAATAAAGTTCTAAAATATCTTTTTTTTTTCCCTCGTAGACACCATGGCATGTGAACACGATCACGTCACACCACAGCAAAGTTTGAAACGTTGAAATAAACATCAGTACCATCGTAAAAGCCTAAAGTGTTCTTGTGTCAGTGATGTCCGTGTCTGTTGCTCAGACCATGTTTGAAGCATCTTATAACCAGCAGGTGACATTTCATTGTATGGAGCAGGAGTGACGTCAGAAGGCCTGATCCCCCCCCCCAGGTCCGTTTAAAGCTGCAGGAGAACAGGAGGACAAAATGCAGCTTCCCTCAGCCGCAGTTTCCGAGAAAGTCAAAATGCTTCAACTGATTTATTTTTGCTGGATCCAGAAACACTGCAGCGTCCATAGCCGCGGGAAGCAGGGATGCAGCTCCCCCTGGTGGTTGACAGAATAACTGAGTCCCATTGCAGCCTCCAATCTGCCAAGTGTAGTGAAAACACTTGTGAAAACGTGTCCATCTATTTGAATGATTCTTAATTACAGGAAAAAAAAGAAAAAAAACCCACAAGGTCTCACCGAGAACTCACCCAGAACTGCACGGAGATAGAAAACTGTATTATTTGTATTGTTTGAATTCATGCACATTTCAGTCGCTGAGTGTAAAAATGTTTGGCAGAGTAATGACGTGTTTGAAATTAAATCCAGATTGATGTCACTTCTTTTGTTTCACAGCCAGAGCCACGATACAAACAGACAACGATGTTGGGGGAAGTTCCTCTTTACCCACAGCAACTGCAGCACCTTGAATAATGGAAACAATTTGAAATACTGACCCACACCTACACAACAATCAGCCAGTGATGGACACATTAAGAATTAATATTACTACTAATGGGGGACGACCTACGCAGGAAAGTTTTGGCCTCACAGGAGACGAAAAAAAAGTTGAAAACTGAAGCAGCAGATGCAGAGATATCCCAACCTTTCGTCTGTTGCATGGGTCAAAGTCCAAATACGACGGATCTTACATTTCCCAATGGCGTTCTTTTCATTAGATTCTCCCTAACCCTTCACAACCCCTGTTTTAATGCTCTTTTTTTTTTTTTTT